AAACTGTCCAGCATCAGTAATTGGATCAAAGACACAGTCAACCATAAAGTCCTTACCATTAAAGATCCCTTGGAACTAAACAAGAACTGGATCTCATATAAACCTTCAGAAGACCCTGAGATCCGTATCATTATGGTTTCAAGACAAAAGCAAGTTCCCCTTTTTTATTCAGCACTGAGTGTACGTTTTCCAGGACGAATTCGTTTCGGAGTAACGTCTCAGAGAAGTATTGATTAAAAGCAACGCTTGGAAGCTTCTTCCAGAAAGGGATCATTTAGCTTACTTCATTATAACCAAAGAAAAAGTGTTCAAATATGGGACCAGGCCTTCAGAATCAATTTCTTTTAAATCCATGGAAACATATTTAAAATGTTTATATCCAAGTCTTAACGATGTTTTTATTTTAACACTATTCATCTGTAATAGTCTCACTATTTTTGAGATCAGTTTAGTTCAAGGTTCATTTATCAAAAGGATTGTAATGTTACTGTTCTGTGCCATAAAGTATAATATCATACACATCCTTGTTTGGATGGGCCTTTTGACACTTCTTCCAGATTCCTTTTCTAGCTGATTTTATTCCCTATGGCCTTAAGCTGATCCGTTTATTGGGTGTTACCGACACCATGGCCTTGGTCAGGGCTGATTTTAAATTTTACTCTCGCCATCTGATCATTGTTGAAGTTTGGTTAGGGATGTACTTACTGGCTCTAGGAGTAGGGTTTTATAAGAAGAGTACAGAGGAAGACTCCAATCAAGACTGGAATTTTGCCCGCTTCAGAACTTTAGAACATTTGTTTTACCCCTTACATCCTCGAAGCCTGAGTCACCTGGATCGTAATGCATTTCTGGAGTGGAACCAACAAGAAATCCCATCTCTCTGGATGGCGGCTCACATGTCCTCTGATTACATTAAACGCCTTCCTACCTGGCCTTATACCAAAGTGGACCCAAATAATGTAACACCAGAACAAACTAATACATCACATCATTCAAACTACACCATTCTTGAACAAGACAATACACCAGCAGACAGACACACCAAAGAGAGAGATAATGTTACACACCTTGACAGCTCCTCTAATATTCAGAATTTAAGATCAGAGACCCTAACTCAGAATTATGATAGGAGCCTGAGGCCCTGCCTGACCCCGGGGGATTTCCTGGAGTGTAGCCAGTGTGTGGTCTGTCTGGAGGATTACGAGCCGGGGGTCCTGTTGTGTGGGCTGCCCTGTAAGCACAGCTTCCATCAGCGCTGTATCCTGACCTGGCTACAGAGGGATAACCACTACTGCCCCGTGTGTAGGTGGCCCTCTAACAAACAAATGCCCATCCATGTTCACTCAGAGTAAACTCCTAAAACATTATTACACCCACCCACATTTACTCAGAATTAACTCCTAAAACATTATTACACCAACCCACATTTACCCAGAATTTACTCCTTAAACATTATTACACCAACCCACATTTACCCAGAATTTACTCCTAAAACATTATTACACCAACCCACATTTACTCAGAATTTACTCCTAAATCACTACACCCATCAACATTCACTCAGTCCTAAAACATTGTTATAGTTCCTATGAAAACTTTTCACATCCATATTCCCTCCCCAAACAAGCATCTGCTTCCTACCAACCAAAGCTTTTATAAACGGCATCATTTCTAAAACAATCAACATTATTGATCACAGCTCTTTTCTTTGACTAATAAATGAAATATTATTTGAGAATTTTGACAATTTTCATGTTTACGTAAGTAAGTAATCATTAGCTTTTCAGAAATGAGAAATGTATGAATTTAACTTTAATTCATGCATGTATGTTTCTAAACTGGTTTTGATTGAAGGTTAATTTATCTATATTTACACCCTACCCTCAAAGGGGCTGGTAACATTCTATATTTGATTTTACGTAATCCCTTTTGTATATATACCTGGTGTACTAGTAGTGATAACATACATGTTAACCTATTGTGATGAAAAAGAGGGAGATTCAGACCTCAAAAGCGGTAGCATTGCGCGCGTGTTGTTTAACGCTTGGATTATCGATATCTTTCATGTAATATACATGTATATTATAAGCCTTAAATGAAATCAGGTACCTACACTAATCAATCTTAAATATCAACAGCAAGGAAGAAGACAGAAACACCTTAAGTTTGACATAAATTGTACAAATTCAAATATTTTTCATGCTCATCATTTTGCTTGGATTGGCTGCTTTACTTAGCCTTTTGAAGAGTGATCTTTGCTGAAATAGCCTAGAAGCAATAATTCTGAATGTTCATTCAGTTTTTAAACAAAACAAATGATGGCATGGTTTAATCTAGATCTAAAACAAGTTCGTATCTTTCGTTATATAAATCAGATTTCCTGCGATGATCGAAAACGAAAGTAGAGATGTGCACATGGCTTGGTCAATCGAGTGATTTCTAATGACTTTATTGATAAAGTTGTGAGCTTCTGTGCTTTTAAAGACGATGTCAAATGTTTTCATCTAATTCTTAAAAGCTATATCTCCTTTTTCATGGCAGGGATGTTGATTAATTTATCGTAACCAATGTAATCACTGGTAGTCTTATGATGTTGTCGTTGTCAAATCCGTGCTTGAAATCTATGTACAAAAAAAGCGTTTGTATGATTCCGAGTCAAATCACGCGATATCTAGCGAGATTTTATGAGAGTGGCTTCAAAAATGGATACCCAAGCGAACCAAAAATACTTTAGACGCAGCTTTTGTAGAAAAGCGGTAGATTTCTGAATTAAATCGGTAGGCGGGAGATGGAGTGAAAAAGCGGTAGACTCCCGCCTAAATCGGGAGAGTTAACATGTATGGTGATAATCATTAATGAAAATTAAATAGTCTGTTAAATATTTGTCATTAGATATTTAATATGGATACACATTAAAAATATTGGTTTTCCATGTTTTCATGTATATATTCATTTTATTATTTGAGGTTCACATTTAACTTCTTCATACTTCAAGAATTAAGTACATGTACTGAGTATCTTAGGTCACAGAAAAAAATTAAGCACAGCCTTTTCATCAAGTGAATTAAGACCTTTTTTCTTGTTTTTTTTTAAATATAATCAAGTGTTATCAATGGAGGGTGGGGGAGATTTATAGGAAATGTGTTTTTATTGTTTTGTTGATGAAACAACATGTATTATTATTATTATTAGAGTGTACTGTTAAAAATTATTATTAGCTATTTTAATAATCATCCACTCATATTGGGTGACTTCTTTGATTATACTAGTACTTGGTACTGCTAAATATTTGTTCATATTTTTTTTCTTCTGTGATTTTGTTTGTTTTATTTTTTCAAGTTAAATTATAAAAGTCTCCTGAATCTCCTAAAACAAGGGCAGAATGTATAAATTGTAAATTATTATGTATAAATTTATCTATTTTTACATTTAACATCCAAAAAATATGTGATAAAAAGTTATAATCTCAGAGAAGATGAGTTTTAGAGAATTATTGGTTGAATATTTGAGTTGCACCTTTTATTGATAAAATGGCATCTGATTTGTATTTAATAAAGATGTAAAATTTCCATCTATTTATATCGCTGATGCAGTGTTCACTTTAAATAGGTATATTAACTATATTTATAGTGCTGATACAATGTTACTGCATTATTTGAATATTTTAATTTTGAGGGGAAAAATGATTGTGATAATTTATTCTGCAAAGTTAATTTTAGAATCCCTGGAATCTATATTTAGATACCGGGAATGTCTTTTTATGAGAATGATATATGATTGTTCCTCATGTTCATAGTACTTCTTCCTCATAACAACAGAACAGGTGGATATCTGTATCATTCAATGGTTGTAATCCTTTGTTATTTTGCTGATTTTTGGCTATTTTGTTAACAGATTGCACAATCACAAAATAAATTTTGCAGTCAATCATATTTTTTTTATTTTTCATATTAAATGAACAATTAATGTATCTAAAACATGTAATAAAAATTATCTCTCATCCCCTCTATTTCTCTAAATTTTCAGGCACCCGCAATACCATCTTCGCTAGCCAAGGGTTTCTGATACGCTACTCTCCTCATAAACCCTTGGCATACGGTGCCATGAAAAGACCAGATTGTTTTCGTCACGTGATCTTGAATCTATCAGGTACGCACAGATTGCGTCATCGACAGAAATAAAGACGCATGTTTAAAAAAAAATAAATTAAAGTTTTTTCAAGAATAATTTAGAAGCAATAATTGAGTAATGTTTATTTATTACTTATAGTACAAATCGGAAGCTTCAATATAGATTCTTAATCACATATTTAGAAGATATTGGATGACACCATAGCTATTCATAGAATTACGTACATGTTATCTTACGGATCGTTTTTTTGATTCCGAGATTAAAGAGTCAAGAAGTATCCCGAACGCAAATATCGCCATTTACAAAAAAACAATTGATGATTGGTCGACAGGTGTGTACTGAAATCCAATCAGAAATCTGGAAAAAAATCCCGATTTTATGAACACCGTAGGCCAAGGGTTTATGAGGAGAGTAGCGTATTAGAAACCCTTGGCTAGCGAAGATGCCGCAATACACACTCCACACACACAACTGGTATGATACGTACATGTATACTACAGATTTATAATTTCAGGAATCCATTTTGTATGTACAAGTACCGTGTATATTGATAGACTGTATCGTTCACTGTAAAACATAATCACTTGGAATCCCAGAATCACTATTGTAATCTCGTATATCACAGTTCTCTATGCCCTTCAGACAAGACGTTCCCTCCTGTTGATGCTCAATGTCTGTCAAAAGCCGGGTTGTCTTGGTAACGACGCTGACGTCCCCACTTTGCTTTCTGGCTTTTAATTTGATCCCTCAATGTACGGGAAAGACACATAACAAACATCTAAATTACAGAGTAAAATGATAATCATTAATTTTTATAATGAGTAACTTTGTGCTTTACTGTATTTATATACTAGTATTAATTTATGTAATACGTAGGCACCTTGAACGGCAAAAATATGCGCACGTGAATGTTCGTGTACAAGTTACATTTATCAATAAAATATTGCTGTCACTAGATTCCCATCCTCACATTGCCTGAGATCCTGAGTCAGCATATTGCTGTGGGTCCAATGTGTTGATCAATCGTTACCTCTGGCATTGCAAGGATGATAGATTCCACTAGGAACTGAATTCATGTGTTCAAAAATGACAATTTTGTAGACTTTCATGCGTAAATTCTTCATATAATTTTAAACAGATGATAGACAATTTGTTTTTGAGTTCGGTCGACAAATACAACTTGATTTACCTGTGGCAGAAGTATTCCCAGCAGGATGCCCCCTAACACCATAGCATTGGTCTGAATCCACGTCCCCAAGGCCCTGACGCAGCCAGCCTTGTTAATGCGGCTTATAGAAGGACCGTCTGATATGATTTTATCCTAACAACGAAATATCAGAAGAAAAAAAAATAAATACTTGAGTGAAAACTCATTACCAATTGCAGTGTCAAAGTTTTCCTTGGTTAGAACAATCATTACGGAAGCCCATTAGTGCCAACCTGTATATATTAAGGAAAAGCGATATGTAAAAGTAAACCTCTATATATAAAGATACGGTGGTATATTTAGGGCACTCAATTATTTTTTTTTAAATACCAGAAAAAATTATCTTGTGAAAACGACATACTTATCTTGTGAAAACGAGATATTATCTTGTGAAAACGACTTATTATCTTGTGAAAACGAGATATTATCTTGTGAAAATGAGATATCATCTTGTGAAAACGACATAATTATCTTGTGAAAACGAGATATTATCTTGTGAAAACGACTTATTATCTTAAATTGTGAAAACGAGATATTATCTTGTGAAAACGAGATATTATCTAGTGAAAACGACATAATTATCTTGTAAAAACGAGATATTATCTTGTGAAAATGACTTATTACCTTCTGAAAACGAGAAATTATCTTGTGAAAACGACATATTATCTTGTGAAAACGAGATATTATCTTGTGAAAACGACATATTATCTTGTGAAAACGAGATATTACCTTGCGAAAACGACATATTATGTCGTTTTCACAAGATAATAAGTCGTTTTCACAAGATAATATCTCGTTTTCACAAGCTATAAACTCGTTTTAACAATATAAAATCTCGATTTAACAAGATAATATCTCGTTTTCACAAGATAATTATGTCACAAGATAATATCTCGTTTTCACAAGATAATATCTCGTTTTCATAATATCTCGTTTTCACAAGATAAATATCTCGTTTTCACAAGATAATTATCTCGTTTTCACAAGATAATATCTCGTTTTCACAAGATAATATCTCGTTTTCACAAGATAATATCTCGTTTTCACAAGATATTATCTCGTATTCACAAGATAATATCTCGTTTTCACAAGATAATATCTCGTTTTCACAAGATAATAAGTCGTTTTCACAAGATAATTACAAGATAATTATGTCGTTTTCACAAGATAATATCTCGTTTTCACAAGATAATATCTCGTTTTCACAATTTAAGATAATAAGTCGTTTTCACAAGATAATATCTCGTTTTCACAAGATAATATCTCGTTTTCACAAGATAATATCTCGTTTTCACAAGATAATATCTCGTTTTCACAAGATAATAAGTCGTTTTCACAAGATAATATCTCGTTTTCACAAGATAATTATGTCGTTTTCACAAGATAATTTTTTTCTGGTATTTAAAAAAAAAATAATTGCGTGTCCTAAATATACCAATTATCTTGTGAAAACGACATAATTATCTTGTGAAAACGAGATATTATCTTGTGAAAACGACTTATTATCTTGTGAAAACGAGATATTATCTTGTGAAAACGAGATATTATCTTGTGAAAACGAGATATTATCTTGTGAAAACGACATAATTATCTTGTGAAAACGAGATATTATATCTTGTGAAAACGACTTATTATCTTGTGAAAACGAGATATTATCTTGTGAAAACGAGATATTATCTTGTGAAAACGACATAATTATCTTGTGAAAACGAGATATTATCTTGTGAAAACGAGATATTATCTTGTGAAAACGAGATATTATCTTGTGAAAACGACATAATTATCTTGTGAAAATGAGATATTATCTTGTGAAAACGACTTATTATATTATGTCGTTTCACAAGATAATATCTCGTTTTCACAAGATAATATCTCGTTTTCACAAGATATTATCTCGTTTTCACAAGATAATTATGACGTTTTCACAAGATAATATCGTTTTCACAAGATAATAAGTCGTTTTCACAAGATAATATCTCGTTTTCGCAAGATAATATCTCGTTTTCACAAGATAACATCTCGTTTTCACAAGATAATATCTCGTTTTCACAAGATAATATCTCGTTTTCACAAGATATTATCTCGTTTTCACAAGATAATATCTCGTTTTCACAAGATATTATCTCGTTTTCACAAGATAATAAGTCGTTTTCACAAGATAATATCTCGTTTTCACAAGATAATCATCTCGTTTTCACAAGATAATTTTTTTCTAGCATTAAAAAAAATAATTGCGTGTCCTAAATATACCACCGTATAAAGAAAATGCGATATATATATATAAAGAAAACCTCGATATATATAAAGGAAATGCGATATATATAAAGAAAACCTCGATTTATATATAAAGGAAATTCGATATATATGAACAAAACCTCGATATATATAAAGGAAATGCGATATATAAAAACAAAACTTCGATATATATATAAAGAGAAAAATTTCCACTGCCTGACCTTTTTTAACATGTTTAATGACCTACATTACAACAAAGACTTCGCCAACATATGATAAGCAGCTCACGGTCCAATGTTTTCATTGCAATCAGTTGGTGTGGCTGTTTCAGGATGGTATTCAGCGTGTTGTGTTTTCTTCCTTTGTGTATCTTGATAATTATGACAATTAAATCTAAAGCTTAAACACTCTGTTCTTCTTACATTTCAGACGTGTTGGGCAGAATTACACCAATGAATGACTTTTCGGCTTAAAATGTATATTACATAACTAAATGTTGGGGGTCTTTTTCAATCGAAATATAATTCGGTGCAAAAATACAAGTGTGTTTTATCATTTTTTATAAGTTCTTTAACGTTTTACTATGTTTTTACAAGATGTAGATTTTCAAATCGATTTAATTTACGATGTGGGACAAAAATCCGCAGTTTAATTATGTAAGTGTGCATGCACTAACTCGTTTCTTTTGGTCTATCAATACTTTACTTTTTTCACATCAAAGGACCCTTAAATTATTACATAATTATACAGTAAAAGTACATGTCGCTTCCTTCCCTCATATTCAAATGAAGTGAAGACTTGATCTCTCCCCTCTCTCCCATTCCGATTCTTTTTTTTTTTTTTACAATCAATGGGCGTACTAGTAAATTATTTTTATAACGAATTTAAATAAATTTGAATTAGGGCATTAAAAAGTACTTGTTAAGACTCCACGTTTAACTTTACATTTTCATAAATTCTCGGTTGTGAAACCAAAGTTAGTAAGTTTGGTAAAAAATAAATAAAAAAAAAAGGTTGTAAAAAAAACGAAGTTGATCAAAATACATGTAAAGCCAATAAAACACAGAAAATACGATACATATGTTACATTAAAAGTTTAAATCTAAAATTTAAACTTATCTGTAACTATCTAGATAAGTTTAAACTTTAGATTGAAACTTTTAATGCAACACATATACTTAATCATGAATGCGTTTAATTAAATGCTCATCTTCTCAATTAAGTGCATTATTTTAAGTAATGTTACAATAATATTACAGTTCATTGATATATGCATGTACAAACAAATGAACACTATTAAATGGCAACATTTTTCCGATTCTGGGAAAGTTCGGAGTACTGTATAACCGATTTCCCCCTGCCAGGAGTTAATCTGTATATAATCTTGATGGACAGCTGGTGCTACAGGTCACGCAGTGGAAAATTTCCTCTTTATATATATCGCATTTCTCTTTATATATATCGAGGGTTTGTTTATATATATCGCTTTTCTCTTTATATATATCGAGGTTTTGTTTATATATATCACATTTCCTTTATATATATCCAGGTTTCGTTTATATATATCGCATTTCCTTTATATATATCCAGGTTTTGTTTATATATATCGCATTTTCTTTATATATATCCAGGTTTTGTTTATATATATTGTATTTCCTTTATATATCGAGGTTTGCTTTTATATATTGCATTTCCTTTATATATAGAGGTTGGCACCAATGGGCTTCCGTAAATCATCGGGAAAAAAATATGCATTTACAGTCGATAAATGTGAAGCGCCCAATCTTTGAGATTGAAGATATTTGTTATACCTTTAAAAATTTGTTCCTATACAAACCTATACAGAAAAAAGTCTAACATTTTTAATGTTTTGCTGAGCGGGCATAAAAAATCGATGTTGGACCGCTGAGTGAGATGTTGGACCGCTCGGAGAGATGTTGGACCGCTTACGTCACAGAATGGGCGGAGCTTAATCTCATTTTCATTCTTTGGTTTTCAACAGTGACAGATCTAATGTTACATTACGGAATATAGTACAAAATATATGTATGTCAAAAAATATAAATAAATTGAAAGGTATAACAAAACATTTATTGACAGAGTTCTCGGACAAAATGCATTTTGTCGACCCCCGAACCAAACTGTCTGCCTTTGGCCCAACGGCTTCAGGCAGACAATTTGGTTCTTGGGTCCGACAAAACGCATGTTGCCCTCGAACTCAGTCAATAAATGTATAATGTTTATTAAATTACTTTTCTTAACTTTGCCAGAACAATTATAATACACGTCATTGCAATTTCATATTGATAGGTAAATTAATACCTTATGATACTTACATTTTCACTTGCTTGCATCACTTTTCGACCACATAAGACGTTTATTTCCTCTCCCTGGGAAAATATACATGTATATACATTTGATTTAATAGTATATGGTTTTTACACGTACTTCTTGTAGTGAAGAAATGCATCCTAATTTAAAATATTAACTAATCTAATAATCACCTCCTTATCAAGCTTACAGAGGATATTCAATGTTTTGTAGTTGAATATGGAATTTATTTCACGAGTGGGACAGGATTTTTGATATTTTCACGAGTGAAAATATCGAAAGATCCTGTCTCACGATTGAAATAAATTCCATATTCAACTACAAAACATTGAATTTTCTGTTTATTACATTAAAAAAAAATTCTTTGATTTTTCCTTTGCCCCTGTCTTTTTGTAATACAGTCATAAGCATGACGTCATAGTTGAGCGGTTGAGATGTAGATAAGTGAGGTGAAAACACTGTAAACATGGATTTAGCAACATATATTAGGTAATTTTGACAGTTTTATTCGCTGTCAGAATGGATTATTTATTTCCATCTATCTTTAACTTATATTAGGTCAAGGAAGATTTTTTTTTACAAAAATCTTCGTTATGGGAAGAGAAATCGAGAGTTTTCCCGCACTTCTGATATTCGTCACACTGTGACAGGATATCATTTTGAAATCCTTTCACACTGTGACAGGATATCATTTTTATGCAATGAATAAATTACAGTATTTCACGGGTAAAAATGTAATAAATTCTTGTACTCGACTAAGTCTTAAAGCTCTCTCTCTCTTTCTTTCTTTCTCTCTCAGTTGAATTACCGGTTTCACTTTACAACATGACGCGGGTACTGAGCATGCCTCTGGACTTTGGTTGTGCTTCGTGCAATTGTAGTACGGGTTATTATTCCAGTCTTTATAACCTTCCTCACTGTCAGCTAAACCGCAGCACTGCAACTGTCAATAATAAAAAAATTCCGTCAGCCAAACCATAATATGATCAACATAACAAGAGATGTTTGTAAAAAAAACTTACCCCCTCCCCAAATATTTGGACTTTTTCTAAGTCCAAGGGGCTAAACGTTGTCAAAATAACTTGATCGTACCCAAAACATAAATTGATCTAGATATTCTTATGATAAATCTGTATACCAAAATTCATTTTAGTATGTGCAACCGCTGCAGAGGAAATTAGCGGAAACTGCACATAAATGGAATCTTTCCAAGTTAATGGGACCTAAGTTGACTCTGTCAAAAATTGGTCGATCGTACCCAAAACAAAACTTGATCCAGGTATTCCTATGATAAATCTGTATACCAAATTTCGTCTCAATATGTGCAAGGGTTTTGAAGAAAATGAATGGAAAATTGGTGGACCGACAAACAGACAGACCGACAGCAGCAATTAAGCACTATGCCCTCCAATCTTCGAGGGGGGGGGGGGGGGGGGGCATAAAAATCATAATTGTCAACTTAGCTGAAACACTACTGCAACTGACAATTAACATACAAAAAGAAACTAATGTTAAGCAAAGCACAGCGCCACGTACATAAGAATTCATGCTGTCAGCTAAACAGCAACACTCCAGCCTCGCATTTGTTACTCTCTGCCAGACTGCAATACTGTAATATCTACCTTTTCCAGTCAAACCACAGTTTCTTGAAGACGGGACACCCCTCAGCTCAATAGGGTTTTTAGAAAAACATGCCGTCGCGCTGACACACAATACGCAGTCACTATAACCCACAACTCACTATAGAAACATTGAATAACACGCTGTCGTGCTAACATGAGTTTGCACAACACGCTGTCACTTTTACACGGGTTCGCACTACACGCCGTTGCGCTAACACACAACTAACGACAGCGTGTTGTGTCAACTTTGTGTGATAGCGCGACAACGTGTTGTGCGAACTCGTGTTTGCATGACATTGTGTTGCCAGGTGTGTTGATTAGCGTGACATCGAGTTGCGCGAACTTGTGTTATAGCGTGACATATTGTTGTGTGAACTTGTGTTCGCGTGACAGCTTGTTGTACGAACTTGTCACAGTGTTATAGCGTGACAGCGTGTTGTCAGCGCGAAAGTGTGTTTTTCTAAAAGCGCTGTTGAACTTTAGCAAATGGACCTGAACGGACACAATAGGGTACATTTGTATCAGTGTGAAACTCATTTTTATTAATCTTTCTATGATGTCCGGATAGGGCCATTTGCAAAAGCTCAACAGCGCGTTCAGAAAAACACGACGTTGCGCTAACACACAGTACATGCTGTCACGCTAACACTAGAACACGCCGTCGCGTTAACACACAACACGCTGTCACGCTAACACGATTTCGCACAACACGCCATCGCACTAACACACAACGCACTGTCGCGCTAACACGAGTTTGCGCAACATGCCGACGTGCTAACAAAACTTGCGTCGATGTGTTGTGTGTTAGCGCCGGCGAGTTGCTTGAAAGACAGCGTGTTGTTACGCATATAAAAGTGCTCTTCAGCTTTAGTAAAAGGCCCTATCCGGACACAATAGGACACAGTTGTATCAGTATTCTACAAACACATTCTTTTTACTTTGTTTTAAGATTTTTTCACCTGTTGAATGAAACTTTTAATTTTATTTGTCTTACCGTTTTTTGTATGTTGTCAATTAAGCTGACCATATCATCATCGTCCACGACACCGTATTTGTTTATTGCATTTCTCAAGCTATCTTGAGGGAAAATTCCCAGTTGATGACGAGATTCGGGGACGTAATAAAACACAAAAATAAGGATCACAAGCACCAACTCTCCCAAAAAGATGAAACTCAATACGTAATTGTACTGGAAGAAGACGAAAAAAATATTATTTTCCTATGATGCAACTTTTAGAAAGATTAAAGAAAGTATAATTTAAAGTTGGAAAGTCCGATTTTTTTAACATCGTCGTCTAATTTTCAAATATCTGTCCTACATATTGAGAATATAGGTCATGTCTTTTGCTAGAAAATCAGATTATCAGGAGGGCCTTCTCAAAAAAATGTTTGGTTGCCCTCTCCCTATCGAACGGCTAAAAATAGCACGACTCATTACTTTTTTTCATCATCGGAAAGCAATATTTTTTCTTATTTGTACTTTGGAAAATACATTTTAAAAAAAAGCACTGCAATTGAATTTTCTGAGAAAAAATATTTTCTCACCTGTATACCCACCCAAAATTTTCAGACCCAGTCGGGAGAAGGCAAGCAATAATTTTTCAAGACTTGGCCTAATAATAGCTTTTTATCAAAATTTCTCACCGTTTTGAGAAAGCATGTGTTTTCTCTGAGAGCTCCCATACAGCCAAAGAAAGTTATGAACACGACTATAGCGCCGCCTGTACACATCAATGTGGACGGATCCAGGAAAAAATCGAACGCGTCCTTAACAACCTTCTTCTTCATGTAAAGGACGTAAGCCCCAATGGCTGTCATTGCAAGACCCGCAAGCTGAAAATAATCCATTGAAAGTATTCCATTTTTCGATCAGAGATTATACATACAGGTCCCCCGATAACGATCTACTTTCACAAAGGATGTAATATCAGAAATTCCATATAGGTTTCATATTTAGTTTTACATCTAGGCGATATCCAAATGTTTGAAAAGATTTTGACAATGAATTTCAAAAACTTGTAATCAAAGAAATAGAAAGAAAAAATGTGGCACATCAAAGTTCTAAAAGACATTGACTAGTATATACGAGTCGGAGGCTATTTTCGGCCGAATTTCTCTTTTGTTTGTTTTCATATATACATTTTAATGTTTTTGTGGAGAAAATTTTGTGAAGACCTTTTTTTCCATTAGAGCTAAAGTTGTTCACTTAAGCGTTTGCATTGGGAGAAAAATTTGGCATAGCTAAAAAAAAGCTGACAAAACCAGTGAACCTCTTCTCTAAGGAATGGATATGTAAACTTTATTATACAAAGTTCAAAGTTTAAAAGTACTAGTATATTAGCTAAGAAAAAAGTAAAATAAATAGAAGAGTTTTCGTCTTTATTTAAGGGGATATGTACATACACAGACATTGTTTACCTTACATATGTCCTATTATCTGTCAATGGATAAAACATTGAATTGATAAACTCAATATATCACACCTTTATAATTGCAAAAAGGGATCAAAGTTATTTCAAAATATTTACCTACCCATATTTCAAAATATCACTTACCCATATTAGAAAATTCTCAAAGAAAAGGAAATACTTCAACACTGGGTTAATGGCCGAGTAGTCCCTACGGCTTCGGAAGGTTCGTCTAAAAGATTCCATTACGAGAACCTAGACACCAGGAAGATATAACTGCCGTGTTGTGTAACTATCTATACTCTGAAAATACTCCATAAACTATCTAACACTCTATAAAAAAGAGTTCAGTCAAACTATGGTATCTATCTAACGCGGACGTTTGTAATCCAGGGAAGTGTTTGCTATTCAGCGATAAGAGACAAAATGTTATCGCGCGATTCCAAAGGTGTGGATCAATATTTTTTAAGGACCTTTATTTTAAAAAATCCGTTCTAAGGGCACACAACTCTACATACATAAAAAATATTACAAAATCTAAAAAATATTACGAACTCTTTAGCATACAATGTAAAGATGTTCTTAAACGAAAATGCAAAAGATGTTGGATAACAAACAAATCCACAGTAAAAGTTGACTTCGAGATTCCACGAGTTATAAAAGAATTACATACAGACGGACGGGCAGACTGAAATAGATATATCCTACTTCCAGTGAAAACGGGGCACAATAATTTTGGACATTGAGATCTTCAGCTTTTAATTTCGTATTTTAAATGTAGAAAAAAATCTATTCGTGTTTTCTTTTAGGGGCTGAGAAATAGTAAAAGGCAACATAGTCATTGAAAAGAAATTTGCAGCTTTCTTTTCTGGAAAAATTAGTAAATACAAAGTTTATAATTTATTACAAATTTAGTAATGATCCTCCGGTTAAAACACCCCCCCCCCCCCCCCGAAAAAAAAGAAGAAGAAACAAAAACAAAGCCGAATTTTGAAAATGTTTGCTGGTCATAGATTGTTTTGAGGTAGATCCTTGTGTTACACTTTCTTTCTAAACGCTATCTAAACATGCTAAAGAAGTCTGTAAAAAGGTTTTTACGATGAATTTTATACCACAACTCCCTGTGACCAAAAGAAGATCCCTATTGATTTGAAGGTCAAAATGCAAGGGTCATAATTCATACATTGAATTAGCGTCGGGAGCAAAGTGGGGAGAGGGGCTAATTGAAAGAGAGAAAGATTTCAAACCTACAAAAATACTTGAAAAGCAAAAAAAAAAAAAAAAAAAATGTGTCCACTGTCCAAACAAGAAAATCCTATTTCGTGGTGGTGGTAGGGGGTGGGGGGTGAATAGGATCGAACTTCTTTCAACACCAATTTCTTGGGCGCTAAAACCTACGCCCCAATTTTCAATGCCTATCTTTTGCACCCCCACCCCTCCGATTTCCGATGCCAATGCATTGTACATTTTCTAGATGATTATTTTTTAGCTTTCTTTAACTACACCTAATTTTAAGTCCTTATGACCTACATTTTCGCAGTGACAGGAGTACTGAGTCAACACGTTACCATTGGACCCCTGGCAAATTCATTCAACAGGTCAATAGTTCGTGGGTTGACTCAAGCGACGTCTTTAAAAATTATTTTCTAAAATTCTTAAGCTAATAAAGCACCCAGAAATGATCATGTGTAGATGAAATAAAACAGAGAAACTTTCAGTACATGCAACTGTATATCAGTAATTTAGATCTATTATATATCAAGAAATAAATTATTTCATGCATATATTATAAATTCATATCATATAAATTACGAGGGCTGTTCAATAAATAATGTCCTAAACTGTATGATATACAATACAGATATCATATGACATTAAACTTGACTTTCTCTCATTATTGATTCTTTACTGAATTTATAACAGTTTATGTGACCACTTTTCATCACATAGTTTCATCGTGAGAAGCTGGGAAACAATGGCTATTCGAGACACTGCATTATAAATGAATGGTTAAGAATCCGTAAACTAGAGTGAAAATAAAGGCTTCATTAAAGCTGCTGTAAAATTTGTTAAGAATCCCAAAGAAATATTCACTGAAATATGTGTCATTTACAGCAACCAACGCCTGTTTTATAGACAAAAGAGCAGGTGGATTTCAATGATAAACTAGATGCTGTCATGAGACAGTAATACCCGCACTAAGGTGTTTGCCTCTAAATACACGCTCCTACATATTGGGCGGCTTTCCAAAGAAATAGTCAAAATAATTCTATAATTTACATGTATTCATCAAATTGAGTATGAAATTCTCAGACCCTGTGACCTATAATCCAGAACCTCTTATATTTATTTTATACATGCTTAATTCATTACATACCAGTCTGAATTTTATTAATGATGTAAATTCATGCACGGATCTGTCGGGGGGATGGGGGGGGGGGGGGAGGGGTCAGGACCCCCCCCCTGGAATTTACAAGGTTAAAAAATGTATATACTAAAACAAGGAAAAAGTTACAATGGACCCCCCTTGGAAAATGCAGATCCCCCCCTGGTAAACACGAATATGTGTAAAATAGGTATGAAAAGTTAAACATTTGCGGCAATAGAAGTCACCACTACCCCACCCCATCCCCCACGATATAGGTTTTTGACGTTTGGGTGAGATTTACTTTAGGTTTTTTTTTTTTGATTGTCAATTTCTGGGATAGGATTTTTTTTTTGACTGAGGTGGACCCCCCCCTCCCCCCACCCGGAAAAAATTTCTGGATCCGCGTCTGAAATTAGATTTTGATATATGTTTTGCTCATAATAGGACCTTTTTAAATTTACTACCAACCCCCCCCCCCCCACCCTCGACACCACAATCACACAGCACATACTTTTTGGAATAGGCTAGATGGAAAAGGTTTGTTAAAATTTAATATCGTTTGTTATGAATTAATTTAAAATTTGTTCTTGTACTATACATGTGAACATGTAAATTTCTTCATCACATCACGTTGCGTCACCCATTATCATATTTATAGATTAAACACCATTTGGCACACCTCGGCCGATACCCACTTCATCTGATAAGGTGATGGAATCGACGAAGGTTCGCCAAAATGGCATATGGCTGCAGTCTGGTGTGCATTGGATTAATATTCATTTTGTGTTATACCGGTAATTGGATTT